CCAGCCTCTCGGATAATCTGCTCTGCATACAGGTTGAAAAGGTATGGAGATAGGACACATCCTTGGCATCCACCCTTCCCAGCTTTGAATCATGCAGTGTTGCCCTGCTCTGCTCTGACTACTGCCTCTTGGTCCAAGTATAGGTTTCACATTAGCACAATTAAATGTTCTGGGACACCAATCCTAACGCCACGCTTCTCCTCATAGAGCCCAGCCTCTCGGATAATCTGCTCTGCATACATGTTGAAAAGGTATGGAGATAGGACACATCCTTGGCATCCACCCTTCCCAGCTTTGAATCATGCAGTGTTGCCCTGCTCTGCTCTGACTACTGCCTCTTGGTCCAAGTATAGGTTTCACATTAGCACAATTAAATGTTCTGGGATTCCCATTCTTCTCAAAGTCAGCCACAGTTTGTTACCGAAAATAGCAAACAAAACACCTAGGTTTTTCCTCTCCCCTTTATTGAATTATCTGTTAACTTAGGGTCTTAGATTCTGTTTTAAAAACATTTGTTTAATGCAAGATGTACTTGATGCTGTGCTAGGTAAATTAAAAAAAAATCATCTCAGGAGCCCTGATGGCCTACTGGCAAGAAGCTGCACTGCAATCCCAGAGGTGCGTGATTCGAATCCACTAGATGCTCTTCTGGAGAAGGAGGGGCAATCTCCTTCTGTGCTAGTCAGATCCGATTTGATGGTACACACACAAAAAAATAATAAAAAATAAATCTCTCTCCTTTTCTCTCCATTAAAACCTCCTTTCCTCCCAGTTTAAAATAAATAAAACTCTATCATCCTGTTGGATCAACCTGTATTCATGGGAAATTTCACAGAAACTAAGTCTTCTTATTATGCACAATGACTTATTTGTTTGGCTGGTAGGATGGTGAGTAGTTTACCAAACCAAGGTGTTTAAGTGCATTGGAGGCTGTCCTTGTCCAGAAATGCAATATCAATTGCCAGCATTTATATTATGGCCCCTTTTGAATAAAAAGAAACACTCACTCAGAAGCATATGTCTCTAAAGGATACAGTTGGAAATACCAGAGGACCTAGTTGATTGACACAGTGCCTAGGGAGGGTTTATACATAGGTACGAGGAATATACTCACCTTAAATAACTGACTAGTGAGAGTGGAAGAAAGACTGGGAGTTCTGTTCTAACTAGCTTTTAAGCAAATAATAATCCTTTGGTTTGTTTATGTTTTGCTTTGTTTTGTTCTCTTCCCTTCTGGATCTGAATGAATGAAAATCTAAACCCATTGGCCACAGAAGGCTAATTGAATGTAATCACACTTTTTATCTATTGACTAGAAACAAGCATATCCTGGCTGTGTTGGTAATCTCTGCTCTAGGGTCTGTTTTTGTCTGTTCTCATCCTTACAATGTTAAAATAAAATTCCCCTTGAGAAGCAAATTTAACATGTGTTTGAAGACAGACTAGGAGCGATTGCCATGGTTTGCTATAGATGTTTTACAACCAGCTCAAGGCAAAGGCACTTGTATGTACCCTTTGAGTCCTTCAATCTTCCCCTGAAATCATTCAGTCACATTACTTCCTAGAATAAATGGTGCTTCAGGGCTGAACCCAATCCAGCGGGGAGCGGGTGTCAGTGCTAACTTCCTGAGAAATTATCAGTAGTGCTGAGAGCTCTGGAAGGCATGGCAGAGGAGTTTCTCTTTCTGGGGCTCTTTTAAACCAATATTCAAGAGCTTGAAACTAGCAGGGCATTGTATAGCTGCAGGTATTTACCTTTTAGAGGAGACTTCAAAGGAACTGCACATTCAAATTCAGCTGGCACTTTCAAGAGAAGCATAATATTCTATTCCCTGGGCGTTATGCAGTGTGACTTGTCAAATCTGAAAGTACGTGCCAAGGCCAAGTGTCTGTAGACAAGTGTGCTGGATGACCCTGCCCGTGGAGTGCCCAGTTTGCCAAGAGCAGATGGCTGAGGGTGGTGTGGTCAAAGACCAGAGGACCCAGCTTTGATGTAGCAGAACAGGACTCAGGAGATGTGGTTCAAGAGAATGTGAAGACTTTAATCGCATAGAAAATAAAACTACATTAAAAAGTTTGATAGAGTATTGATTGTTATTGTTGGTAGGTGCCATTGAGTCAAGTCCTACTATGTGAACAACATGATGTGAACCCTGGCCTGCCCTGTGCTGTGCCATCTTCTCAATCTCTGACCTAATCAAGCCTGTCGCTTCAGTCACTGTGTCAAGCCATCTGGTTGAGAGTCTTCCTCTCTTTCGCCAACCTTCCGCCTTTCCAAGAATGATGTCCCTCTCCAAGGAATATCTTCTCCTGGTCACATGCCTGAAGCGAGATGAAGCTTTATTAGCCTTTGCCTCCAAAGAGCACTCTGGCTGCACCTTTTCCAAGGCATAGATGTTTGTTCTTTTGGCAGTCCACGGATATCCAGTACTCTCACCACAGCTCAGAGACATTAATTCTTCTGTCATCCTTATTCATTGTCCAGTTCTCAGATGCATAGGAAATGACTGAAAAGACCATGGCCTGAATCAGACGTCCTCAGACTGACATCACTGCTCCTCAGTAATTTGGTCAGGTCCTTGACTTTTCCAGTGTAATATTGAGAGAAGTTCTTTGTTGGTTTTAGATTTTTTATTCCCCCAACGTCTTTAGCTTCTCTCCCCTTTGTTTTGGCTTTGTGACACTCCTTGGAGGCAAGAAATATAAAGCCTCATCTCACTCTTTGGGCATGTTGTTAAGAGGGCCCAGCCCTTGGAAAGAGACATCTCATTTGGAAAGGTCAGCGAGGAGAGGAAAACCTTCAACAATTGAATCAACAGCATGACTGCAGCATGGGCTCAAGTTTGTCAGAGTTGATAGAGATGGTGCAAGATAGGACAGAGTTCAAGTCTGTTCTTCATAGGGTGACTCTGAGTCATATTTGAACTGGTGGCACCTAACAAGAACAACCTAACAGCTATTGTGTGGTTGACATTGTTCTAAATTATCGTATCTCTTCAATCATTTCATCTTAACCACAGTTTGAGTAATATTTCTATGACTTCATTCTTATTATTTTCCTTATTCTTTAGTTTCATAGACTACAGTACAGGGAAATAATAGTCTCCCAAGGTTAAATGGCTGGGGCCAGTTCTTTAACTTCCCTCTGCATTAGTTTCCTTCCTTTTCCTAAGATAATACTAATACCTACTTTAAGAACGAAACCCTGCCCAGCCCTATGCCATCTTCACAATCTCTGTTGTGCTTAGCCCATTGTTGTAATCACCGTGTCAGTCCCTCTCCTTAAGGATCTTCCTTTCCTTCGCTGACCATCTCCTTTTCCAGGCGTGGTGTGCTCCCCCCTGCTGATAGTACGCCCATTGTATGTGAGTTGATGTCCCACTGCCTTCACTTCCTAGGGAGCATGCTGGCTTCCAGATGATGACACCCATAGTATGTGAGATGATGTCCTACTGCCTTCACTTCCTAGGGAGCATGCTGGCTTCCAGGATGATGTTTCTTTGTTCCTTTGGTAATCCGCTCAGTATTGTTCCCCAGCCTCACAATTCAAAGGCAGTAATTCTTTATTAATCTTCTTTATTCCTTGAATGCCCAGTTTTCATGTGGATTTGTAGCAATTGAAAATTGCATGGCTTAGGTGAGGTATACCTTTGTCTTTAAAGTGACACCTTCAAAAAGAATTGAAGAAGCTAATAAAATACGTAAAGGTACAGATATTAAAGAGTGCTCTGTAAACCAGAAGTTTCCTTATCAGAGTAATCAACCTTAATAACATTCTAGGAATGCTGAAAGAAGAATATTGTGTAGTAGCATAATAATAATAGTTGTTGCATGTCTTAGAGTTGATTCTGACTCGTAGAAACCCTCTAAGACAGAGTAGTTTGCACTCATTGAATTTCCAAGAGCAAAATATTTATGGGAGCAGATTATCAACCAGATCTTTTCTCCCACAAGTGAGAAGAGCATTCGAACCACTGGCCTTTCCGTTAGCAGTGAGCGCATAACCGTTATACGACCAGGGCTATCTTAATAATATGTGAATAAATTTATAAAAGACTGTCCAAAATAACGAGAGCTCTGGTGGCCTACTGCCCAGAAGTTGCACTGCAATCTTGGAGGCACACAGTTCGAGTCCAC